AATTTACACTTTTTTGAGCAAAATATAATGACATCATCGAAGAACGTATTGAGATCTACCATGCTGTAACAATTTCGTTAGTGAGAGGATTACGATACTTCTGGCTGCCTATTATTACGGTACTTCTGTGTGCATATTTTAGTATTATATTGGGCACGTAAACATTGTTGAGAAAAATGTAACAAAATTATAATTGAACGTATTGAGATTTACCATGCTGTAACCATTTCCTTAGTGAGAAGAAATATAAGGCTTCACAGTGAAATCAGGCGGTCGTCATATTAATGAAATGGAAGATATCGGCATTTTTCTGGGCGTTGGGCAATTTTTTAGAACTTTTGGGCCCAACACTTTTCATGTCCTTTCTTAAACGTATTTCTATGGTGGATGTTACAGAAAAACGTTAATTAAAAGCAAAAATAGTAATTTTTCTGTTTCCAAGGACTCTTAAGCTTTGGAAGCTACCAAGCCTTAGCAGCTACTTAATCGCTAATTTTGCCCCTGAAAATTGGTGAACCCCACCTCTTTCAATCCAAAATAATATATCGAGTTCTATGGAAGATAAATGGGTAATTATCTCATTGAACGCAAGCCAAATGATACCAATAACTCTATAATATGCCCAAAATTTGACGAGCGCCTGGTTCCACCGCGCCCAACCGTGACTGAAGTACACAGGCTCTGAGTACATGATGGCATTTTCAGTAAAATAGAGCCAATACTAATTATTAGTAATATATTATTTATATTTGTATTTTCTTTTCAAAAAGCTTCACAGCACCTTACTATTATTATTACGTCCTGTAAAGAGACATGTGGCCCTTTACGGTTTATGGCCAAGCCAGAGTGGCCCCTTATTCGAAACGTTTGCTCACCGTGGTCGAAAAGAATATTGCGCGAGCATTCAAAACGATAATAATAATAGTAATGCTTGAGTCACTCAACAAGGTTGGGGGCAATTTGTGTGGCATCATGGTGAAACCAGGCTCTCGTCAGAAATAATGAAATCAAAAGAAATCAATACTTTTATGCACATCGCGAAATTTTTTAAGATTTTAATTAAATGTTTTTTTTAGAGGAACAAAGTATATGTGTGTGTTTGGGTTGGGGGGAGGGGGGCAAACACCTTCTATGTCCATTTAAAACATATTCCTGTGAGGATTTTTATATAAAACCGTTGATCGAAGGCACACAAACGTCAATTTGCTATTTCCAAATTCTCTACAGCTTTGATGTCTTGATGGCCACTTTCTCGCTAATTTTATCGTGATAACAAGTGACCCCGATCTCCGTTAATTGCAACTATCTCGCTTCCTAATCCAGATATAATGGGTAGTTTGGGTGCTTTTTTTCATCGAAAGCAAAGTAAATGAACAGGCTTTAGAGTTTTACCAATAACTTCAAATTGTCGAAAATAATGTTGACGAGTGCCTGATTCCACCGCGGCGTGACACATTTTATCTTACAAATGAAAACGAATGCAAAACAAACAACAGAACCGGTTAAAGACGTTCCTTTGGCCCTATCATCAGAGCTTATCTGGATAGAGTGACACTCCCCCCCCCCCACCCAACAGCCCTCCCCACCCATTTTTTTTTTAGCTGATATCATCATGAATCCAGGAGGTATTGTAAAGCGCACCCTTCATTTTGCAGTTTCCTGTTACATGGCTTCATGACCTGGGGTTTCCACCTCGTTAAACTATAATAATTGTATTTATAATGTTGATGTCGCTTGAGCATTATCAGCTTATCAGTACTCAAAGTACTACCAATTTACACTAACTATGGCTTGAAGTGTAAGAAGTGAAATTATCTTGCATACTCACGAAAATGTGACATAAGCTCAACCAGATCAATTCAGGCATCTCTTGTGAATGATAGAGTGCGAATCAACGGGAATTCCCTGCATGACAGCAATGACTTCAAATAGCCTATAAACATGTATGAGAAAAACCTTCCTAAATAGAGCACTCTACCGTGTCTCCTGTTCACTTTAAACTAACCCACTCGACCCATAATTGAAGAATAAAGTGGGAAGGTCCCCCGAACGCTTAATAATTAAGAGACACTTGTGATTTGCATTTTATGTGTGTGGTTGAGGCGTGTCTATTCAATTGGCGTGAACATTTTGTAAGAGTTGGGGACTTTTTTTCGTGTGACTGTGTTTTGTTTGGTTGTTTGTTGATTTTTTGTCATAGAAAACGAAAAGCGAAATCCAAGTGTGCGATCAATAAAAACAAGCTCAGGAGTGTAACAAATATATTTACTAGAATTTAAAAAAACCGAAGGAACAAATTTTATAAATACCCCCCAGCGTGAGAAATTAATGTAAGTTGTAGATGTGGTACAACGTCGTGTGATCAGGCGTTCGTCAATTTTTGGTCATATGGGGTTATTGGCATTTAAAGCTTGTTCAATTGCCTTTCTTTTGCTGAAAAAATATAAATCTATATTGAAATGAAGTCGAGATATTTGCAGTTGAAAGAAGTGAGGATCATCTGGTTCCAGAGGTAAAATTAGCGAGAAAATGGCCGCCAAAGTTTGTTAACTTATATAGCTTAAGAGGCCTTGGAAAATAAAAATTTAAATTTTTTGTGCCTTTAATCAATGTTTTTCAGTAAAATCCACACTGAAATGTGCTTTTAAAAGTAAAAGATGTTGAATCAAAAAAAAGAAAATTAGAACAAAGGTACCAGACAACCAGAAAAAAACGCTAGTTTCTTTGATTTCAATATTTTGACGAGCGCCTGACTTCACGACGATGCCTCACAAATTTTAGTGTGCTATACACAACATAATAATTATGTACTTGCATGAAATGATAATGTAATTTCTGTAGTTGTTAAATGATCCCCTTCTAAATAATATCACCACGCCACCTTATTGTGATGCCGTACTTTAAAAAATACTGTACAAGCAGGGCTTTTAAAAATTATTTAAATAGTTTATTTATCTACTAGCTGGACTCCATTTCGATGAAAGGAACGATTGACCGGTGCATTAACATCAACCGAAAGTCATTGGCCTACTATATTTTTACACTCTACTGGAACGAAGCAATAGATCTTGAGAAATGCAAAAAATTAAAAGGTCTAAATATAGAGATGAATAGATTGATTCTCTATTCCGCTCTCGTAGTTGTACACTCTAGAATTTCAAAGTTGCGGAAACAGTGCGCACGGCTAGTGAATGGAAACCTCACTTGTTTACAATGGTGTATTAGAAGAAGGACTTTCCCAAGATTAGATCTAAACGAAAATAATGAAAAACTGAAAATTAAACTAGAGATTATAGTGACTTCAGGCTCCTCAAGAAAACTGTGCATCTTTTAAAATATTATGATTCTGAACCACCATTTATTTCGTCAAAATCGAAAGTTAAAGATAAAAACATTCAGTTTGTTTGTTTGTTTGTTTTGTTTGGTTGTTTGTCTGTTTATTTTATTTTTTTGACTCTCCTGTAAAATTGTAATAACTGCATAATATACTGTAATTTTAAAAAATGACCGCAGTGTATGACATTTATACTAGCGTTTTTACTCCCCCACTAACGCAATTTAGATCATTTAGGAGGCGAGTTCTGACCCTGCCTGTCAGGGCCAATCTGGGCTGAGAGGGATACAGTATCCCAGCAGACAGACCGAGATTCTCGATGGAAATGTTCTCCCTACTTGGGAATCGAAACCAGGGTATCCTGTGTGCGATAGAGAAGCGACCAACCTCTGTACCAAAGATAGTACATAACAAAATAGTTCACTCCTCTTTTTGAGCCAATTAAAAAGTGTCCTCAAATTTCGGTGGCACCCTCTTCAAAAATGTGCGGACTTTGCAATCAAAGTTACCCTACTTGTGTGAAAAACAATAAAAGTGAAACTAACAAACTTTGCAATTCCTATTCTTCTTCTGGAGAAACCAAAGAAAGCGTCAAAACCTTGACCTTGACCTTAACCATCATTAATTTATTTATAGAGGCACCAGCAATCCATGTCCATGTGCTGTTTTAGCCTCTTTTTCCTGTCTGTGGATTTATATTTTTGAAAGCTCGGACTTCCGTGGACACGGTCTTTTTGGCTGAGTGAACTATCTTGTTATGAATGATCTTTGCCCCTACACACAGCTGATACTGGCGCCATTACCTGTTTGATAATCAATCAGTTATTTTATAAGCAATATAAATAGGCACAACAGTAATAACTTAATCAATATGAGTCTCTCTCGACACGGTTTTCATACTGAAATTAGTGTGATATCTTGCTACCCTAAAATTACTAAGATCTATCTGCTCGGTACGTAGTTTTGAGAAGGTTGACGTAAAAAGATTTTAAGTTTCTCAGCGTGTCAAGATTTTTCGAATGCAATTCTTTGAATACAGTGATGACGATTCAGAATAATCTTACGATTAGGATGGAGCAGATAGAGCATCCAGTTCCTGACCTCAAGGTCTTGGTAACTCAAAACGGCCAAAAATGTCAGATAGAACTTTGTAATGCTGAGGTTGTGACTGGTCACAGTACTTTTATATTGTTGTTCTACTAACATTCAGAATAACATTTTAAATCGGGTTGAATCGGCTCTTGCTCCCGATTGATCTAAATTATATTGATAAAGGCGTTCGTAAATCTTAAATAACAATCATATTTACCATCAAAATTACAACTACAATCACAATTATAATTACAACAATTAAAACCACAATTACAATTTCTATTATAATTACAATTACAATGACAATCATAATTACAATATTTATCAATTATTAACATTGTAGACTTGAATTCTATGATGAGAACACAGTAAAAGTCACGATAAGATTTGCACAATAAGATTTGTTTTTCATAATAGAAGAAAACACAACAATGAAAAGCTTCTACAAATTAGCTGCAGTTCTTAGTTGATCTATGTTTGATTGCAACCAAAAGATAAGAAAAGCTTGTTAGCTTTGATAAAATTTGTAAATTGATATCATCGTTAACATTATGTGAAAATGACGTAAACATCAAAGTTTGTCAAAATGACAGAAACATTAGGATTTGTCAAAATGACGGAAGCTTTAAGGTTTCTAAAAATGACGGAAACATTAAGGTTTCTAAAAATGACGTAAACATTAAGGTTTATCAAAATGATGAAAGCATTAAGGTTTGGAAACATTACGGTTTGTCAAAATGACGTAAGCATTCGGTTTTGTCGAAAACTTACAATCATTTCATAGCAGCTCCCGCCACGTGAGTGCTCAGGCCAGGTACGTTTGCACCTGAGCACGAATACGCTTTTGGCAGACCGGACAGTAGTCGACTGTTGTGGAGCACGTGCTGCAGGTGCGAAAGTGTGAGCAAGGCAAGAACGTGACCTCTGGGGGCTTCGAGTCACACAGAAGACAGCGCGTTGCCTTCTTCAGGTATTTGCTCTCTCTCTCAAGCACGGCCCTGCGCGACAGGACCGGTCTGGGGTGGCGTGGTCGAGTCGTCATCTCCTCTGGCACCTCATCCGCGCTTTTGTCATTGACGCTATCCTCAGTCGCTTCTTCGCTCTTGTCGTTCGTGTTTCCTTCAATCTCTTCATTGCTCTCACCATCGACGACTCCCACAATGCTCGTGGGATCGCTGACGTCATTACTGTTTCCAGCCATCTCACTGTTGAGATGATCGGGCTCGTCAACCGTTTCCTCAACATCTGGGACTTCCGCTGTGACGTCAGGCGAACCGTCTTCACCGTCTGAACTGGGTACCGTTTGCGGATGAAACTGTCTCCCTTTCTCCTCTTCACTCATGGCGTTGTACATGTTGACAAACTTTGACATAATATTGTTAGTATTGTAATCCAAATCAATCAAAACGGAAAGCAGCTCTTTGGCGTTGGGGTAGCGATGATGCTGGACGATGAACAATCTAACCGCCAGGTCCACCTCCACTTTGCTAGACTCTGCATCACACAAACCTCGACTCTCTGAAGCGTCAGTGACTAGCGCTTTCATCGCAGGTGACTGTTTAAACTCGTCACAGACTTCCACAGTCATGAGGATCTCCTGGTATTCCTCCATTGACTTTCTGTCTTTAATCACGTCCTTCGCCTTCTCCTCCTCCTCCTCCCTCTCCTCCTCCCTCTCCTCCTCCCCCCGCTGTCTCTCCTCTTCTACGATGTCTGGAACATAAGTAGAGTGCTCTTCCTGTGTGTTCAGAATCTCCAACAAATAACGTATCGATTCTACCTCAGCAATCTCTAAAAAAATGTCCTGGCTATCACTAGACCCTGCTGCCTGCCTCGGCCTCTCCTGCTGAAATGATGTGCAATTCTCAGGACGATTCGGAGAGGAAATCCCTTTCTTGTAAAAACTGGCGTGATCTTTTCCGGGGTGTAAACTCCAAAACAACACTCTGATTATTTTCGTAGTCAAATGTTTGTAAATATCGAATTCTTCAACTGCATGGAAACCGTTAATAAACTTCAACACTTCAGAGCTATACGAGTTAGTGTTGGTTCTTAATCCACCTGTAACCGCCTTTTCGGTGTCATGGTTTCTTCGTAAAGGACATTTCTTACCCCTTTGGAACTGGCTCTCTCTCTTGCTGAACATCCTGCCATCTTCTGTGAGGAGAAATGAGGAAATACAAGACAGCTGTTCAAGCCAGTGGGTTGTTATTAGTGGTTGTTGTCCAAGTGGGCTGGACAATCACTAAAGACAGTGAAACTAAAATAGACTCAACATGAAAATAAAATAGAAGCAACAGAAATGAGACTGCCGAGAATATCGTGGAAGGAAAAGAAATCAAATGAGGTAGTCCTTGACGAAGCCAACGTGAGACGCTCAATGTTAAAAACAAGCCGGAAACGACAAATGCAGTTTTTGGGACATAACTAAAAAGACATAATGGTCTTGAATATCTAGCTCTCACTGGCAAAATTGAAGGCAAACAAGCCCAGAGCAACCTACTTGGGGAACCTAAACAAATGGGTTGCGGGGAAAGATTAGGAAAACGTAGATTTTTTCAGAGCTTCCGAGCAAAGGAATGAAAGGAGAACCATGATCGCCGATGTCTGTCGCAGATCTGGAACTGGATGATGATGTCAACGTCGGTTTCTACGTAATCTATGGCTGAGAAAGCCCCTGCTTTGGTGGCTGAACTAAGTTTTATTGTTGACATGAAATGTTTGATTGTTTTTGCGTGTGTGTGTGTGTGTGTGTGTGTGTGTGTGTGTGTGTGTGTGTGTGTGTGTGTGTGTGTGTGTGTGTGTGTGTGTGAGAGAGAGAGACAGAAAGAGAGAGAAAGAGAGAGAGAGAGAGAAAGAGTGAGAGAGAAAGAGAGAGAGAGAGAAAGGGAGAGAGAGAGAGAGAGAGAGCGAGAGAGAGAGAGAGAGAGAGAGAGAGAGAGAGAGAGAGAGAGAGAGGGGGGGGGTTACTCTCAGTCATCAAGCCATCAATGTAAAACGCTCTAAGCCTATCCGTGAACCGCTTTTGGATAGAACCCATTACAAATGCAACCTATTATTAATCTGTTCCTGCAGACAAGGCTGTCATTTGTTGCTATACAGATCACAAACATTATGGATCAGAAACTTACATTGTAACTAATTATAAACATAATGGATCATAAACATAATCAGTATAAACATAATTAATTAATCATAAACATAATTAATCATAAACATAATTAATCATACACATTTAATCATAAACATAATAAATTATGGACATTAAGGATCATAAACATAATTAATCAGAAACAATAAATTATAAACATAAAAGATAAAAAACATGGTAAATCATAAACAGAATTAATTAATCGTATGATAAATAATTGACAATATCGAATCACAAACATAAGGAATTACATGACGTTACCACTTTAGAATTACAAACTTTTCTCTGCTCAGTACTTAGTTTTGAGAAACTTCACGTCCAAAACTATTGAGTTTCACAACATGTCACGCTTTTGCGACGGTTAATCTTTTGAATATCTTGATAACTTCTCCTAATGATCTTACCATTTTGATAGAGCTGATAGAATATTAGGTTTCTGAACTCATGGTCTTAGTAATTCAAAGTAGCTAAAATTGTCAGATAGAACATAGTATTTCAGAGGTAGCTATCAGGGATCGCACACTATAATGACAATGACAATGACAATGACAATGACAATCTTTATTCATCTCGCAGGGAGAAATTTGTCTTGGTCGTTAACAATGGCAGTAGACGTTACAAAAGTTAGACTTAATGGTGCACTCACGCAAACGCACAACTAGACAGGACATTATGCCAAGTAAATACATGTCTCACGGGATGGGACAACCCGCTCCGTAACACATTCATTCTCTCTCTCTCTCTCTCTCTCTCTCTCTCTCTCTCTCTCTCTCTCTCTCTGTTTCATTTGTAGCACTGTGTGTTCAGTAACCTCACTGCAGTTGGTACGAATGAATTTCTATATCTGTCTGTTCTGACTACAAAGAGTAATTCTAAAGCCTCGTTTAGCGATATGTGCTGCTACATAGCTTTGTTAAAAACCCATAGCCTTCTATTAAATAACAATCTCTATCGGTTGAAATTAACTAATTCGCACTTATGTGAGAGGTGTAACTCTCATGAAATTGAAGATGAATTTCACTTTATTTTCTATTGTTCACACTTTGTCCATCAAAGGAAATTGTTAATCCCTCCCAGCCTGATTGGGCCCAGTGATAGAAATATGCAATGTTTGACTCATGATAAGAGATATGTGCATAACCTGTACTTATTCATTATGGAAACTTTATTTATCAAATGAGTGTTTTGTTGGACGTGATGTGGGCCAATGGCCTTAAACACTGAATAAACTTACTTACTTACTTACTTACTTACTTACTTACTTACTTACTTACTTACTTACTATTTGATGCTACACAACGGTTAGACTCTGTGCCTATCACTCAAAAAAAAGTAGTGTTCGATTCTTACAAGAGGATCGGTTGTGGTGGCTATTGTGTAAAGCATGTTTTATCATGTGGTAACGTATCTACCTAAGCCTGAAAGTAAATTGTGAGGCAGTGTGGTGGAATCAGGCTCTCGTCAATTTTTGGGCATGTAGAGTTATTGGTATCATCTTAAAGCTTGTTCACTTGTCTTTATTTGGATGCAAAACATCCATTTATCTTGAATACAAGTCGAGATATTTGTGAAAGAAGGAGGTGGGGGTCACCTGGTTTCAGAGGTAAAATTAGTGAGAAATTGGCCGCCAAAGGTTAGTTATTTCCTTAACCTAAGAGTCCGTGGTTACTGAAAATTTACATTTTTTGTGCCTTCAATCAACGTTTTTCAGTCAATTCCACGCAGAAAAGAGTTCTTTTACGGACATGAAAGGTGTTGAGCCAAAAACCAAAAAAAAAAAATGATAAAAATTCACAAACCTGCGGGAAAATGCCAGTTTCTTCACTTTGATTATTCTAACGAGAGCCTGATTCCACCACGTAGCCTCACAATTGTTCGTTTTTGTTTTAGTAATGTTTTACGGCGCTCGCAACTGCATAAGGTCAAATGAGCGCCAAGGGTATATGGCTTACTCTGCTCACTTCTCTAGCCTCAACAGCACAAAGTCTGCTTCGACTATCAAGGCACCCCGGAAATAGCTGTTCACAACAGAGTGACAAACATACAAAAGAAGTAGAGGGGAAAATGACGACAATAAGATGATCAAAGAAAAAGCAGCAGTTCCGTCTCTGTTGCTCCGGGACAGAAAGAACTTGACATTGATAAGTCAGCACATTTACAATTCTACTGTGCATAAGAACATGTTAATATCCCCCCTTTGGGAATAGCCTAAAGAAAAGTAATTGTGACACGACGCGGTCGAATCAGGTGATCGTCAACTTTTGGCCCTGTAGTTATTGGTATAATCTTAAAGCCCACTCATTTGCCTTGCTTTTGATTTTTTTTAAGTATACACCTCTCCAAAATGGAAGTCGAGGTAATAAATAGCTATTGAAAGATTTAGGAGCTGCCAGTTGTGAAAAGAAAAATGAGCGAGCAAATGGTCCCCAAAGTTTAGTGACTTCCAAAGCTTGAGTACGCTTTGAGCAGTAAAATCCACACATAAAAATAAATGTGTTTTTAAATAGACATAAAAGGTGTTAATCTAAAATATAAAAATTCAATAAAGCTTTCCAAACGGGCGAGAAAACGCCAGTTTCTTCGATTTCATTACTTTGACGAGCACCTGATTTCAATACTAAAGAGCTGTTCCCGCATCCGATCCAGACATTGGGGATTGCCTTGTTAGTGAGACAACTTACTGGGCCTTCGGCATAATATTGTGGTGGGTTTGCCAGTTCCTTTCCACGCCGCCGTAACTTCCTCAACTCGAAGTCAGGTACCCATTACTGCTGGGTGGGCAGGAGGGGACGAAAATAATTCATGTCCTAACCGAGGCTCGAACCCGGACTTTCCGCTTAGGAGACGAGCTCCTGATTTCATCACCATGCTACATGAAAATATTGCGTCTTATCTAAATCTTCTTATTGTGGCCCCGGGGAGGTCAAGGGCCTCGGAACCTTGAGAGACTGGAAGACAGCCAGCCATACGCACGGGGATTTGACGTAATACACACTGACACAGTTATAGCAAACATGACCAAGAAAATATAATATTATGCTGTTGTTGTTGTTGTTGTTGTTGTTGTTATTGTTGTTGCTATTGCTTCTGCTGCTTCTGCTGCTACTGCTGCTGCTGCTGCTGCTGCTGCTGCTGGTGGTTGTGGTGTTGCTGTATATCTCTTTATCCGATCTATTTATCTATCTATCTATGTGTGTTCGCATGTATGTATGTACAGAGGTGTCCGTGCATGTTTGCGTATATGCAGGTATGTGTGTATGTGTGTATGTGTGTATGTGTGTATGTGTGTATGTGTGTATGTGTGTATGTGTGTATGTAAGTATACGTCTGTGCATTTATGCGTGTATGCATGTACGCTTGTGTGCATGCATGTAGTATGCGTGTATGCATGAATGCGTGTATGCATGTACACATGTATGGATATAAGTGTACGCTCGCCACGCACGAATGCGTGCGTGCGTGTGCACGTTTGCAAGAGCGTGCGCTCGTTCGGTTATGTGTGGGTGTGTGTGTGTGTGTGCATGTGTGTGTATGTGTGTATGTGTGTATGTGTGTATATGTGTGTATGTGTGTATGTGTGTATGTGTGTGTATGTGTGTATGTGTGTACCATGTGTGTGCGTATGTGTGTGCATGTGTGTATGTGTGTGTATGTGTGTATATGTGTGTATGTGTGTGTATGTGTGTTCGTGTCTATTTGTGTGTGTATATGTGTATGTGTGTGTATGTGTGTATGTGTGTATGTGTGTGTATGTGTGTGTGTTTATGAGTGTGTATATGTGAGTGTATGTGTGTATGTGTGTATGTATGTGTGTATGTGTGTATGTATATGTGTATGTATGTGTTTGCATGTGTGTACATGTGTATGTTTGTAGTTATTTGTTTGTGTGTGTGTGTGTGTTTGTGCGTGTGTTTTGTCTGTCTGTGACTGTGTGTGTGTGCTTTTATATGTGTGTGTTTATGTATATGAACAAGGGTTTTCCTATTTATATTTTATTGTATACCACTGTATATATAAATACATTTCTAAGATGAAAGTACGGTACAGTTTTTCTGTTTACTATTTTTTAATCTTCCCTGAAATGAGTTTTGGCTTAAGAAAATGAAACTTACCTCTGGTGAGTAAAACAGGCGGGCACGCTGTGACTTCATCAAATGAATTTACCATTTCTCTTTTCGCATGTCAGGAACAACCGTTTTAAGTTTTGTCTCTAACTCTGTCTGCTGGAATAAACCACTTCCCTTACTGCGGATCCAAGTACGAGTTCTTCATACGTCATATTGATTAAATATATTATTCTTGTTATCTCCAAACAACGCGTCACCTCTGACACCCTTTCGAAGAAAATGATTCCAAATAGGCAAGCTGTTCCTACGCATGCGTGATCTAGCGTCTGTCTGACTTTGGAGTCTCTGGAAAAAGCCAGGAGCTAAAAATAAACTACACGTAGCAGGCTGTAATTAGTTCACCAACCCGGAGACCGTAAATACCCCCAACCACGCTTCAATCTTCTGCTCTCTCTCTCTCTCTCTCTCTCTCTCTCTCTCTCTCTCTCTCCGTG